CAGTTATCTGCACACAGCTTCTCCCTGGGGGGAAGGGGCTTCCTTGGGGTGGAGCCCAGACAAACCTTTGTGTTGCTGCCTCTGGAACAAGAAGACTCAGATATGCCATCAAATGTCTAGAGCCTCGGTTTCCCCACTTGTCCTGAGGATGCATTGCCCCCATCACCACTGAGGTTGGAGTCAATGGGATCCTGAGGGTGCCTCCCCCAACCCATTCCACCAAGTGCCTCCAGGCAGGGTCTGAGGGGATCAGAGCCCACCGTGGCGAGGAAGAGCTGGTGGCTACACCTGCAGACAACTCTCCTGGCTCCCAGGAGTTCTTGGAGCTGGGTTCTCCCTCCATTCTCCCAGCCAGTGCCCCTCCCCACTCCAGCTCAGGACCATCTGGCCCACCTGGGGATGGGGGGAGCAACACCCCCTCTGGAAAGCCTCCCTTGATTGCCTCAGCCTGGGTGAAATGCCTCCTCTGTACCCACCCAGGCCTTTACGCTCAGAATAAAACAGACTCCCCACCCTGTCCCAGAGGAAGGGTCCTCTCCAGGACCTTCCAAGGCAGGGTTGGCCATTTGGGACTGTTCCTTTTCAAGAAAGAGCCCTACCACCAAAAAGAGTTAGAATTCTCTGGGAGTAGCATGGTCTTGGGAGTCAAACAGTCCTGGATTCAAATCCAAGCTCTGCCGCATGGCCTTGGAAGGGTTACCACCCTATGCTGGGCCTGGGCCGCCTCCTCTGAGCAATTGGGACATATGAGGGAGAGGGGAGCTGAGGCTGGCACAGCGTCACCACCTGCCAGGACACCCGCCATACGTGGCAACTGAGCAGTGGGAATGTGGCTAGTCTAAATTGAGATGTGTTTGTAATCATGTAAAATACATGCTGGATATCCAAGACTTAGCACAAAAAAGAATGTAAAATATCTCATTAATAATTTTATACCTGTTGAAATAATTTTTTGATATCTTGGGTTAAATAAAATAAATGATTAAAATTAATTTCATCTGTTTAAAAAAATTGTTACTTTTTAAAATACGGCTATAGAAAATTAAACATGCCGTATGTCTTGCCTGCATGGCTTGCGTTTGGTGTCTGTTGGACAGTGCCCTCTAGAGGACAGCCACTGGACCCGGGTTGGGGGATAAGGGCTGTGTGTTGGGCTGAGAGGGCCTGAAGCCTGGCCTTGCCGACTCCTGGCTGCTGAGTAGCCCCAGGCCAGATACTGCCCGCTCTGAACCTCATTTTCTGCATTAGTAAGAAGAGCTGGTGGGCCAGGGTCAGGGTTTTTCAGTCAACTGGGGGAGCTTATGGGCAGGGGGAGGCTGAGTGAGGGTAGATGGAGGCTGGCCCTTCCCCGGCTCACCCTCATGGAAACCCCACCCAAGGACATCCCATCTCTGCCCTTTCTTCCACCCACGAGACCCAGATGTACCATTTCCCATCCTCCTGTCGGACAGATGTGCTTCCTCCACTCAGCCATCTCTGGGAGGAGAAGGGCCGTGGCTGAGTCACGCAGGCCCAGGCTCCAGGGCTGGCTTCGCCCTTCCTAGCTCTGTGATCCTGGGATGAGCAAACCCCCCACCGCCCAGTAGCTCTGGACCCCCTTTCTCCATTTGCAGGAGGGAGAAGTGTGGGTACTTTCTGATTCCCATTGCTCAGGCAGTGGCACCTGGAGAGGGTCACAGCTGTGTCCCTCCCACTGTCTCTTGGTCAGCAGGGTCACACTGCCGGTTACCTTGGACCCAACTAGGGGGCCTCACCACTCTCCTTCCTCTGTTTGCAAAGGGTACCGGGTGGGCAGGGGCCCGGATCAAAGCTGAATCCGGCTGTCCCAGAACCGGGGGCCAATGGCTCGCTCTGATCACCTCCCAGCCCTCCTGGTGGCTCGGTCCTCGGCGGCCCCCTTCAGTCCTGCTTGAGTTGGCAAGTCAGCATCAGAGCAGGCATGGAGGGCTGAGCCTGGCCTGGGACCCTCGGACAGGGCCCCTCCTGCCTGTGGACGCTGCTCCACCACTGACCAGCCAGGTCTGCTCATTTGTTTATTCAAAAAGTATTTATTGAGCACCTACTATGTGCCAAGCTGGGGATATATCAGTAGACAAGACAGGCACCGCCCCTGCCTCCTGGAAGGGAAAGCAGACCATAAACATAAATATTAGCTGTGCTGTCCGATACAGTAGCCGTTACCTACAAGTGGCCATTTACATTTAAATTTAAATGAATTTAAATGGAATAAAACTTAAAATTCAGTTCCTCATTCACACTGGTCATATTTCAGATGCTCAATAGATACATGTGGCTGGTAGCTACTATATTAGCTCAGATATAGAACATTTTCCTTGTCACAGAACGTTCTAGTGGACAGCACTATTAGTATGTGGGAAGGGAAGAGGGATTTGAAGCACTGGGTTGGGGCAAGGGATGCAGTTTTTTGTTTTAAATACAAATTCAATTTTGCAATTTTCATTTTAAAAAATTTTATTTATTTGTTTATTTTGGCCATGCGGCTTGTGGGATCTTATTTCCCCAACCAGGGATCGAACCCGGGCCCTGGCAGTGAATGCGCCCGAGTCCTAACCACTGGACTGCCAGGGAATTCCCAGAGATGCAGTTTTAAGTGAGGTGGTCAGGGTAGGCCTTGATGAGGAGGTGACATTTGAGCAGAGTCCTGAAGCAGGGGAAGGAGGGAGCCATGTGAGAATCTGGGGGAAGAGCCTTCTAGGCAGAGGGAACAGCACACGCAAAGGCCCTGAGGTAGGATCTCAGCTGGAACGTTGGAGAAGCAGCAAGGAGGCCATCGTGTCAGGAATGGAATGAGCAAGTGGAAAAGTAGCTTGAGGACAGAAAAGACAGGGATTGATCTGTGTTTTGCCAAATTACCTCTGGCTGCTGTGTTGAAAATAAATTGTCGGGGAGCGGGCAGGGAGGTCAGTGAGGAGGCTCCCCCACTGTTACGGGTGAGAGGTGGTGACGGCTGGCCCAGCGTGGGGCAGTCGGAGTGGGCAGAAGGGACCAGATTCAGGAGATGTTCTGGAGGCAGAACCCATGGGATTGCCCAGAGGTCGAAAGGGGGTGTAAGAGGAAGAACGAGGGAGGCAAGGGCAACTCTACAGTTTGGGGCCTGGGCACCTGGAAGGCAGAGGCGGGTGGGCGGGTACCTTCCTCCGGGAGCCTGCTGCCCAGCTCTCAGCTGACCGCACACCACGCCTGGCTTGTGTTCAGTAACTCCAACAACACCCATTCTTATTAAATGGGCCTTGTTATGCAACAGCGGCCAGTCCCTCCCGAACCTCAGAGGATGTGGGCAGCCTGAACGCATGACCCTGGAGGTCAGGGATGTCACAGACTTTCTCTTAGCCCAGAGACTCGTTGCTGGAGTCAGGCTCCACTTGGAAACCCTGTGTGCAGAGCAGAAAAAGCAACTTATCAATCCTGAACCTCCCAAAGCCCTCGGGATCATGGGGAGGGGGTGGAGGGAGGTGGCCCCAGAGCAGGACCCCCGCCCCCAGTCAGACTCTGTCCTCCTCCTGCCCTGAGCTGAGCGGTGCCTTGAGGGACCACCGGGGCTGCAAGGTGGGCTTGTCTGCCCGCTGGGTCGGGGTGTCTGGCGGGCTGCAGCAGCAAGGTGGGCATGGGATGGGGGCACTGATGGATGCAGCATTCCCTGGGTGACCTGCCTGTTGCCAGGTGTCTTTCCAGGGTGAGAAAATCTCTCCTGAGAAGATGAAAGGATTCTAATTACATCTCAGGACAGTATTTGTTTGGAGAGACGAGTGTCAGAACATATGGTGGGGAGCGGTGCTGGGCCGCACTGAGCGGGGATTTGTTTTCTCTTACCTGCCAGCCTGGTGGGCATGGCAGTGGGTGGGGCTCCTGCTGGGTCCCAGGAACCACCTGCTCTGGGATTTGGTGGGCGAGCTGGACCCTGCTGGAGGGATGGGAGGCACATGTGTCTCCCACCGCCTCCTGGGGCTCTTGAGAGGATGGAGGATATATCACACCTACGAGGTGCCAGGAGATGTGTAGCCACAGGAGAGCTGGTCCCTGTTCTCATGCAGCTTGCACAGGCAGTGCAGGCAGTGAACCGATGCAAGACCGTGACCATTCCCCAGGCAGGTGGGAGGTGGGGGGTTGAGGGGAACCTACCCACGTGGTCAGGGAAGGCCTCTCTGAGGGGACCAAGTTTCAGCTGAGCTTTGAGTGACTTGCTGGACGAAGAGGGACCAGGGGAAGAACATTCCAGGCATTGGGAACAGCGAGGGCAAAAGTGAGGTGAGAAAGTGAGGCATGTTCACAGGACAGAATGGAGACCAGGGGGAGGTGGGCAGGGCTTGCCCCCCAACCTGGTGCAGAGGGGACCCGAGGAAGGGTTCCGAGGGGGCGGGGGGGGGGTAGGTCTGATTTGGTTTTGCAAAGACGGTGCTGAACGCTGTGCCCTGGGGTGGGGAATGATCCAGGATGGGGGCAACTGGAGAAATCGGGGAAGAACTGACGAAAACAGCAGCTTCCTCCCTGACCTCCTTGCTCACACCTTCCAACCAAGCCCTCCTCGGATCCATCGCTCCCTTCCTGAGAATCTGGTGCCCGCGGGCTCCGGGATCAAGGCCCAGCTGTGTGGGGCCTTCGGGGCCCCGGGCCTACGCCTTCATCCCCAGGTCTGGCCAGCTGCCGCCGCACAGGCCTCTGCGCAGCCTCGCGGAGCTCGTCTAGGTGCCCCACCTGCAGCCAGGCCACACCCGCCCGCAGGCGCGGCCGCTCCCTCTCTCTCAGCTCCAGCCCCCGCACCAGCCCCGGGCCGCCGGCCCCGCTGTTTCCTGAGCCCCGGCCACCCCTCCCCCGGTTTCTCCGCACAGCCCTGTTCACAGAGACGCCCCACGACATGACGGCGCGGACGGGCGAGGACGTGGAGATGGCCTGCTCCTTCCGCGGGAGCGGCTCCCCCTCCTACTCGCTGGAGATCCAGTGGTGGTACGTGCGGAGCCACAGGGACTGGACGGACAAGCAGGGATGGGCCTCGAACCAGGTACCGCCCCTGGGGAGACTTCCGAGTGGGGCTGGGAGAGCCCTGGCCCACCCACCCCCGGGGAGGAGTGTGTCTCTGCCCCTCATCTCCTCGGAGGGGCGTGGGCCCCGGCTATGTTCGTCCTCTGAAGCCCCCAGCTGTCTCCTTCCCTTTTTCCCGGAACGGAGGCCTGTTTGTGGGGAGGGGCAGGGGGCGGAGCCAGGCTGAGCACTTGGGATGGGCCCAGTAAGAAGGGCCTTCCAAGGAGTAGAGTCCCTCCCTTCGTGTACAGGTGGGGAAGCAGGCCAGAGGGACAGAAGCTGTCACACACACGTGTACATGCATGCCTTTCCACATACGTGCAGGCACACGAGGCCGCCCAGTCACGGCACACACGTTCACCTCTGCACTCGTACACGCTCCCACGCACACACTGTGCCAGCCTGCGGCGGGGAGCGGGGGAGGGGGTGGCGGAGTGCGGACGCTATTGGTGTCCCCGCCCACGTGCCGGGTAAGCACCATCCCCTGCCACCAGACCCGCTGCCAACACTGCTGAGGGTTTTCTCTGGACAACAGAGCCTGCTGGCCAGCAAGGCAGGCTGGAGGAGCGCCCTATCAATGACTGACGGGAGTTGGAGGGTAAATACCCCAGCTCCCTTGCTCCTCGGTTGGGATAACCGAAGAGCATCCTGCTCCCTTTCCCCCATGTGCCCAGTGGGAGTAAGTTCCAGTTGCCCAGGGGGGTAACTGGCTTGATGACATACCCATCATTGACTTCCTTCCCTCTTTTGTCTCACTCACTCATTCCTCTCCTGATGTTTCCTGGGATCACCTACCAAATAAACCACTTGCACCTGAATCTTTGTCTTAGGGTCTGCTTCTGGGGGAACAAACTAAGACACTCTCATTCTTACGCTTGTGTATATGTAAATGTTATGCAAACACATATGTGTCTGCCCACCTGTTCACTTATGAGCACTTACATGACGCACCTTCATATGCACATACAGGCATGCTCACACATTCTTGCATGTTTCATGAAATGGCCTCTAACATATTCACAAATATATATTAAACTCACCTAGCTCCTGGAGGTGTCAACCCCCCAGCACACAGGCTCAGAGGACTCCAGTGGTCAGAGAAAGCCCTTAGGCAAAGAGTTGCAGGCTTTGTAGTTGGATGCCTCTGGGGTCAGCTTGCCGGGGGATAGTATGTGGGCAGGGCTCCGACAGCGTCTGCTGCAAACACTCCTGAAAACACAACACATTCACAGATAGAGAGATGCAAGTGTACAGACAGACACTCCTACAGACACACCAAGCCCGAATACCATTTTTGCCTGTTCACACGTACCCTCCCTGTATATCTCTAAATACCGTATATATCAGAATGTGTAGCACATGCACAGTCAGTTTTATAGGCACCTCCTTTATCTTCCTTTGCTCTGACTCACCTCCATGCCCTGAGTGGACATAGAGCTGAAGGACCCCAACCTCTAGACCCGTAGTCCCCAGAGCGTCACTTGTGGTTACGAGAATCTTAGCCATTGCTCGTATCCCCACCCCGTGATCCTAACACATTGTCTCTGTTTTCTCCACCCTCCCGCTCCCAACAGCTAAAAGCATCTCAGCAGGAAGACGCAGGGAAGGACGAGACCAAAATAAGTGTGAGTTTTGGTAATGCCTTCTCACAAGGGCTCTAATGGAGGACACAGCTGTAATTTAAAAAAAAAAAAAAAATCCAGTTCAGCAGGGAACTTGGGCAAGAAGACGGAGGAGAAGGAAAAAAGAAGGGGGAAAAATTGGCCTGGCTCTGTTTTTTAAAAGCCAGAGGTTTTTCAAGTTCATTGAATGACAGGCACAAACAAATGACAGGGGGAGAGAAGACGCATTCTCTCCTGTTGGGGCCAAGGCTGTGTGCATCCCTGATGCTTCATGTCTGTCTCAGCAGCATTTTTTATTTGGGGAACAAACAGGGTATAATGAGACTGAGCCGGCTTCTTTTGGCCCATCACGAATGACTGCTGTGGCATCTCATGGTCACTTGGGTCATCTGGCTCCAGACGTGAGGCAGGACAGGGGGACTACAGCTGAAGGATTTCAAGACTGGCCGGGCCTTCTAATGCATTGACTCATTTTATCGTTGCTCCGTCTCTATGGGGAAGGGCAAGCTTTCACCCATTTTACAGGTGAGGCAACTGAGGCTTAGAGGGGTCAAAGCCTTGCTGGAGGTCGTGACTTGGCTGAGCTGCCTCCAGCTTTTTGTCTTCAGGCTACGCTGGAGCCCAGTGAGGTGGGGCACCCAGGGGACTCAGGGATTGACAGTTTTTGTAGAGGAGGGCACCCAAAGCAGGGCCTGGAAGAGGCAGGCAGGATCGAGAAAAGAGACTGTGTAGAGGGGACCGGCCTGGTGACACATGTGGCCATGGGACCAGGTTGGGTTTGTGCACGGGGCATGTGGTCAGCCTGGCAGGAGGTTAGAAGTCCACTGGACACATAGAAGATGCAGGTGCCCGCCGGGGTATGAATGTGCATGTGTGGGAATGACCTCCAAAATCACTCTTTTCTGTTGCTCCTTCTGAAGTCCTTCAAGGACCCGCGGGGGAGCTCGGGACCCCAAGACCAGTTAGATGCAGAGGAGCTCCCTGAGCGGAAGTCACAGTGTAAAGAGTGGGCATTGGGAGGCATGAGGTGCTGTGCCAGGCACTGGAGGTGGCAGAACGGAGGCAGGGAGGCCAGGAGGGAGGCTCCCACAGAAGCTCAAGCAGGAGGTAGGCAGATGACAGACAAGGGCCTTCGAAGCATCATTTGTGCAGTCTGCCCCGGGGCCTTTCTGAGTTGCGATCTGGAAATTTGAGCCATTTCCAGCTCAGGGCAGCTGCTGGTCCACCCTCTCTAAATCCCTAGCCCTCACCCTAACCCTCCCTCTCTGCCAAGGGCACACCCATACGCAGCACCCCATTTCTTGCCCATCAGTTAAGCCCAGGAAGGTAGAAATCTGTGTGTGTATTAATATACCCCGTTCATGGCAACTCTCTCGCCGATGATTTTGTTTGGGGTTTAAGGAGCGTCTCAGGCACAGGAGAGAATAATCTAATTGACTTAGAGGATTAGAATTCAAGGCTGTTGGGCCCCACGTGAGGGGAATGCGAAGGTGCTAACTAGTTAAATAAAATAAATGTGCTCAGCATGACTGTGCAATCCCCCCCCACCCCATCCTAGCCCCGGCGATTCTTGCACCAGCGGGGGCTCTGGGGCTCTGGGGCTCTGGGGCTCTGGCTAGGAAACTCACAGACAAGCACAGACCCAGTTCCTTGTGCAGACAGCGTCTTGCACGTGACCGTTCTTAAATACACAGACGCGCAGTTAGTGGACACCTGTAAGCAGAGGCACACCCCGGTTTCCTGCAGCTTAGGAGAAGGCTCAGACTTTTCTCTGCGGGCTTCGAGGTTCTGTGCAACTTGCTCTGCTCACCCTCTGGGCTATCTCACCTCGCTTGACCCGGCTCACACTGCCCCCTTCCACCCGCTGCCTTCCAGCCTCCCATTCCTTCCACCTCTGGGCCTTTGCACAGGCCAGTCCCTCTGCCTAGAAAACCGTTCCTCTCTCTTCCTTCAGAGCTCAGCTCAGCAAGCCTCCCTGGACCCTGGAACTCAGCCGGCATCCCTCCCTTCTCCCTGCTGGCTGCATTTCTGTCTGCACTTATCCATGCCTGTGAGCATTTGTCTCAGGCCTGTCTTCCCCGGAGACAGTGGGGCTGGGACTGTGCTTGCCTGATTGACTGGTACATTTCCAGAGCCTGGCACAGCGCCTGGCAGGTAGTTAGTGCTCAATAAATATTTATCAGGTGACTGTCACACGTACCCACACACCCCCAGGCCAGTGGCAGTGTAAAGCCAGACACAGGTTTTTTTTTTTTTTTTTCTTTGCGGTACACGGGCCTCTCACTGTTGCGGCCTCTCCCATTGCGGAACACAGGCTCCGGACGCGCAGGCTCAGCGGCCATGGCTCACGGGCCCAGATGCTCCGCGGCATGTGGGATCTTCCCGGACCGGGGCACGAACCCGCGTCCCCTGCATCGGCAGGCGGACTCTCAACCACTGCGCCACCAGGGAAGCCCCCAGACACAGATTTTGATAAACGGACATGCCAACACTATGTGCATCATGCCTGTGCATGGATGTGTACAGGGGACGTGCAGCCATGAAGGGGCTTGTGTGAAACTATGGGACCTGGGGACCGCAGGCCCTGTATCTATAGGAGCTAGATGAGCCAGGCAGGAATTCCGGCCCCATAGCCCCATGTCACCTAAAAATCCCGAGTTCCATGGAATAATCTCCCAATTTTTAACTGTTGGGACCTAATTTGATTTTTGAAAAACTGTGAAAACAAAACGGCTCAGTCTCCCCGCTGGTAGCGTCAGCACCTGGGGGGGCCTCAGGTTCGGAGGAGGAAGTACAGTGAGTTTCTGGGAGTTTGGTGTGGGCAGGGCTCCATGATGGGCTCTGTAACCCATTGGGGCCGCCATGGTGGCCCTGGGCAGGGTGAGATATGGCAGTGCTGAGTGCGGGGGTGCGACAGCGAGGACACAGTGGAGCCAGCCCTGAACGTCACAGGACCTGAGTCCTGGTCCAGCTCTGCCAGTCCCCTGGGCCTCTCTTTCCCCCCTTCACAGCTGTCTAATGAATATATGAAAACACTCTGGCAACTGTGAAATTCCTCCGGATTTGGCCATGCGAATGACAGTGGGTAGTAGAGTAGAAACTGAGTATTCGAATCACGTGACTCCCATTCCTAGCATGTGTGGAGCAGGGAAAGGAGGCCCAGCTTCTCTACAGGAAATGGGAGGGAATGAAAAGAGAGATCATTTATATGGGAGGACAGGCATCTGTGATGACGATGGTGATAATCATAATAATAGTAATAATAAAGCAGCTAACATTTATTGAGTGCCCGCCATATGTCAGGAACCACGATGAGTACTTTACATGAATTATCTCATTTAACTTGGGGCCTGGGAAAGGACCCCCTGGCCTTAAAAGTATCTCCCTCGGGAGCTTGTATATGCTGAGGATTCTACCATCAGGACCTTATTCCTGTGGCTCAGGTAAATTTTGCTATGTCCATTTTCAAGTTCTGGAAACTTTTCTTTTGACCTAACTGAAGTTCTGTCTTTTGGAATTTAGGTTAATTTCCCCTTAACCAGTTTTGCAAGTTGAGATGGCCCCCGACTTCCTAATTGTAAAATAAGGTGAAATTCTCCACACACCTTTTTTCCCAGGGGGCTTACCTGCCTTCGTTGCTGTTAGTTCCTCCTTTGGTCTAACCAAAGTCATTTGTGCTGTAGATTCAGTTCATGTTAACCTGTTTCAGTCCAAAATAGCCGTGGGCAGCCTGGGTCTCCATATATGTGTGGCCTCGTGCTCCGGCCCACTTACCCTAAGCCCCGCCTCCTCTCCAGCTAAGCCCCAAAAGCCAGGTACATCCAAAGTGGCCTCGGGAAGCATACTGCAGCCCCCTGTCCCCACATCTCCATAAATGGTTAAAAGGCAGCTTCATTGGTCAGATCAATCTTGACCCTATAGGTCAAACCCCTGTTTACCCCGCTTGGCTGCCCCACAGATATGACACACATATGGATCCCGCGTCTTTTCTGGTGTGGGGGATGGGGGCTGGGACCACTGGAGCAGCACGTGAGGTCTGCATCCTTCACTAAGGATTAACAGGCCAAGCGGCAGGTCATGGTATATTATGACTTTATTTTCTGCAGTAGACGTTTCTGTATTTTCTTGAAATTCCTGCCATGATCCACAATATACAAAGGGCATGGAACTCTGATGTCTGAAAGGGAGGCAAGATTCATGTGGAGTCAAAAATCACTCCATCCATCTTGGAAATCCCTTGAGACATCCATAGAGCAGCCGGCCTCTGGCTGGGACTGAAAAGATTCCTCTGTGAAGGCCGTGGTCACACACTCCCAGTCCCTGCTCTCACGGTACTCCCAGTCAGTGTGGGGGATGGATGTTAATCCAATAATCCCTCATGATAAAAAGTAAAATTACAACTATGACCATCAAAATGAGAAGGAGCGAAGCCAGTAACAGAGGACCTGACCTAGTCTGGTGGGTCTGGAGGGCTTCCTGGAGGAGGTGGAGTGAGGTGAAGTGAGCACTGAAGTGTAGAGAGGTTGACTAGAAGTAGGGGGAACTTCTCTGGGTGTGTGTGTTGGAGGAACTGCAGGAGGCTGTTGT